GAATAATTGTGTGTTAATTACAGAGTTCAACCAATGGTACTAGAACCAAAAAAATACTAAAATGGATAAAGTATTACACTGTACATCAACCGTTAGGACAAGAGCTGATCAAGTCACTGTTTCTCATAGTGTCCATTTCACTTCAACAAGTTTCCCCTTTGGTGCTCAGTTAGTTGTCGTCAATCAGGGAGAACATATGATATTTGTCCCTTTGGGACTGGCTTAATTCACTCAGCATGATGTTTTCCAAATTCCTCCATCTTGTTGCAAATCCCATCAACAGTAGACTGGATTAAAAAAATTATGGGACATATACTCTATAGAATACTATACAGAAGGTTAACTTTTTAGAGATTTATTTATTTATTTAAAAGTCAGAGTTACAGAGTGAGAGAGAGAAAGAGAGAGAGATCGTCCATCTACTGGTTCATTCCCCAGGTGGCTGCAATGGCTGGGGCTGGGCCAAGCTGAAATCAGTAGCCAGGAGCTTCTACCGAGTCCCTCATGTAGATGTCAAAGGCCCAAGCACTGGGGCCATCTTCTGATGCTTTTCCCAGCCCGTAGCAGAGAGCTGGATCAGAAGTGGAGCAGCTGGAACACAAACAAGTGCCCATATGGGGATGCTGGCATCCCAGGTGGCAGCTTTACCTGCTGTGCCCCAACACCAGCCCCAGCAGGCTAGTTTTAAAGTTGATAATTTTGTATGGCCGGTGCATGATGTTATGAATGCCAAATGGCCTTTGGAAGAAAAAAAGCCCCCCCCACCCCGTACCTCCAAAGCAACACAGCTCAAAGTTACAAATATAGGAAGTGAAAATTCTGTTAATGAATTACTGGTCATAAAAATGAGAGAATCCACTCTTAGGGCTGCTTCTTTGATGCCTGGACTCACACATTCTAACTATGGGGGAGATAATACTATATAGTGGTCTCTGATATGTAGAAATATTGCATCTTGTAAGACAGATCCCCATATTTTCTGGGTTTTGTATTCTAGTTCCATAAGTAAATCAGTAAACTATCCCACATTTCAACAGGTTAGCCACTTGTGGGTGATGAGGGTATATAATAAGATTAGACAAGCCCATGGGTGTGTGCCCACTGTTGTGCAAATAGTTCTTCAGCAGAAGAAACACAATGGGAAATCTCTTAAATGTGGAGTTGGCATTCTGTGACTTCATGAAGCTGATGATTGTGGAATCATTAAAAACAAGGAGGAAAACCCAATTTGCAAGTGTGTATGTCTATTCCAGTCATAATATTCCATGCATATTCCAGTATGTATGTCTATTCCAGTCACCCATGTCCGTGATGCAAGGGGCCCTATGCAATCAGTCTGTGCCACTGGTATGCAGTCAGTTCCCTTAGGGAATTATGTGATCCTAGGGGCTCAGTGTTCATCTCTGTGGCTAATAATTAGGCATTCAGTAGTAACATTAGCCACTGGGCAAACTTGATAGAGAAAGCCATGCCTCTGAGCTCATGCATGACTTTAAGCTCTGCCTATAAGGATACTTTTTTCATGGTATCATTGAGGAAGCATTGGGAAAGCTGGAAAAAGATGTTGATACATCCATAGGCTGCATCATTTTGTCCATTATTAAGAACTTCCACCACACTGGACTTTTCTTGGTCAGTATTCTCATGGAGCATACTTATCTGGATAATCTGCGACCATTTCTAGAGAACCCAATGTTTTCTTTTTTTATCAGTCTTCCAGTTCTCTTACTATCCAGTCAAACCATCAGCAACCGCTCACAAATCGAGGTAGATCAATACTTCCAGTCCTCTCTCGCTCTTGATAATGTTGACTACCTAATGGCCTACTTGATATTTTGCCACCGGCAGGATTTTTACTTTCGTCATTGCTCTTCAGTGAGGCGGCAGTACTAATTTTGTGTGGTACCAGTAAAAAGAGCAAATCCACATGGAAAGTAGACTCGACTTTTCTTCCTCAGACATCTGATGAGGTTTAAGGGAGAGAAACCAATACAAGAAAAGTTGATGTCAGAGCCATCTGGGCAGCCTACTCAAAACAGCTGACTTGCACCTTCTGGATCTGCTCAGCGGGCTCTCTCACATGTGTTCCATTTTCCCTTGATGATTGCTCCTGGGCACACCCAACGTTATAGCTGAGGCTAAGTAGGTCAGACAGCACTCAGATCAAGATCAAAGTTCAGGCTGCTTGGTCACGTGTTTTTCCAGAGTTAGACATTCAGACTTCATTGTGGTCCTCCAGCAAGCCAGAAGCTGTTTCTCAGAAAGCTAACAGTTAGTTGAAGAAATTGGAATATGTTTTCCCCAAGTTCCAGAGGACTGAGCTGTCTTATTCGTATTTCCGAGTCTCCATGTAGCATTAGTATTTGCCACGGAAGATTTAAGCATCATTGTCAGGTCTGCTATATTTAAAGCAACATGGAAAAGCAGATGGCAACGAATCCTGAGCTTTCTCTGGAGTCTCCTCCTTCTCTGGCCCCCACTCAAAATTGTTAGCTTTCCTGATGACTTGGTAAATAAGTCCAAGTTGCACATCCAGATGTCCCATATGCTGTCTCCGCCACTCAAGACAACCCACCTGCTGTTGTACCTTTCTTTCCGTGATAGGTGGTGTGGGGTGCAGCACCACCCCTTTCACACAAGAGGGGGTCTATCAACATTCCCTGGATGAAAGAAACTTCACTGAGGTGACAAGTTCTTGACTTTTTCTTCAGTTTATTGTTATACCTGCTGATTAGTCAATTTCCAGCTCAAGTGGCTTTTTATATTTTAAGTATGTTATGACTTCTGAGGGTGAGCTGCACCATCACCCACTTTCTAACATAGCAGTTTTCATCCTGGCACCTATCACAGTGCATTCAAATTTCATAATCTTGTCTCCTCCTCTTAAAGAGCTGAACGCTCCAGAGAAGAACTAGCTCGTTCTCTGTTTTTTTTTCCTAGCCTTCTAACACTGCATCTAGTGCACAGTATGAGCTCAGGAAAGATTCAAATAGGGTAGTGAAGGAGTAATATGTCAAAGAGTTCATGGGAGGATACGTGTAAAAAGCAACAATCATTTTGCATGAACCCTGAGGCGACCTCTGTTGTCCTGACTTCACTGGTTGTTTCAGGAAGCTGTGGCAACCCAATTTATAAGAACAAATGGAAGGCCGGGGCCGCGGCTCACTAGGCTAATCCTCCGCCTAGCGGCGCCAGCACACCGGGTTCTAGTCCCGGTCGGGGCGCCGGATTCTGTCCCGGTTGCCCCTCTTCCAGGCCAGCTCTCTGCTGTGGCCAGGGAGTGCAGTGGAGGATGGCCCAAGTGCTTGGGCCCTGAACCCCATGGGAGACCAGGAGAAGCACCTGGCTCCTGCCTTCGGGTCAGCGTGGTGCGCCGGCCGCGGCGGCCATTGGAGGGTGAACCAACAGCAAAGGAAGACCTTTCTCTCTGTCTCTCTGTCTACTCTGCCTGTCAAAAAAAAAAAAAAAAAAAAAAAAAAAAAAAAAAAAAAAAAAAAAGAACAAATGGAGTTCACTGGGATTGTTAGGTGAGCTCCATCTAATATGGCTGATGTCCTGATAGGAACAGGAGATTAGGACATAGGCGATATAGACAGAAGGATGCCCATGTGATGATACAGGGACAGAGTGTCCACCTGCAACCAAGGAGAGACATTTCAGAAGAAACCAAACCAGCTGACACCTTGGCATTACATCTGTAACCTTCATAAGTGTGAGAAAGTAAATTTTCGTTGTTCAAATCATTTAATCTGTGATATTTTGCTGTGGCACAACCCTAGAAAATAAATACACTCATAACCAGCCTGGTGTACAGATGGATGTGGGCATGGACTTGGGCTCCAACAATCAGATGTGTGGTTCCCAAACTTTGACTCTGGAGTTATGCATACAAAAGAGAAAAGAAAGTGGTAGCAGCTGCAACACGATAGAGGTGAAAGTCTGCAGGGCAGAGCGGCAGTGGGGCTGCAGCTGCACACATTCTCATGCCTGAGCAGCCTGCAGTGTCTGGAGCTTAAAAGAGGAGCCAGAGAAAAGGTTCCCCAAAGTGATTTTCCATACTGTTATTAACTTGGTAGCTTTTGAGTCCGATTCTCTTACCTTATTGAGATTCTGATGCAAACCTAATACTCACTAACTTGTTCCTTTTCTATCTTAACCAAGCCACAATAAGTTCCTGTTGCTAACCAATACAAATCATGTTTATAGATAATTTCAACCCAGCATTAATGAAAAAAATTAAATGAAGCTGTAGTTTCATTACCAGAGATTGTATAATTGTAGGAAACCTAACAGAAGTATTCTGTTGGCCGGCGCTGCAGCTCAATAGGCGCCGGCACACCTGGTTCTAGTCCCGGTCGGGGTGCCGGCTTCTGTGCCAGTTGCCCCTCTTCCAGTCCAGCTCTCTGCTGTGGCCCAGGAGCAATGGAGGATGGCCCAAGACCCTGGGCCCTGCACCCGCATGGGAGACCAGGAGGAAGCACCTGGCTCCTGCCTTCGGATCAGCGTGGTGCGCTGGCCACAGCTGCCATTTGCGGGGTGAACCAACTGCAAAGGAAGACCTTTCTCTCTGTCTCTCCCTCTCACTGTCCACTCTGCCTGTCAAAAAAAAAAAAAAGAAAAAAAAAAGAAAGAAAGAAGTATTCTGTCAATTCTGGGTCTCACTATTCTTTCTTCTTTGAGTTCTTACCAGAGTTAACTTGTATCTGTTTCCGCTGTAAGCCAGGACTAGAGATTAGTGAAGACAAGGGATAGAATAGCTTTGTGGTTTCTTCTGAATCAGCTCCTTACATGTTTTCACGGTTCCAGTGTGTGCTAGCAGCAGGATGATGTAGTCACCACCAGATGGCAGTGCCTCCCTCTATTCAGGCTTCCCTTGGTTTGCAATCCCTCCCTCCCACCCGTGTGTGTGTGTGTGTGTGTGTGTGTGTGTGTGTTTTCAAACCAAAGGGTTGAACTTGTCTCTGACTGGATAGGCAAGAAACCTGAGACTGGGAGTGGAACAACTAGGGACACACCCAATACAAAGAACTAACTCTCTAGACTGAGGAACCTGCCTCAGCTTCAGTCCCCAGAGCCGACTCTTCTGTGAGCCCAAAAAGGAAGAAGCATGGAGAAACTCCTGGGAGGGACTTTGGTGATTCTATGCCTTCAGCTGGCCAGTGAGTCCGGGATCGTGCTGATGGAAACAGGGAGATCCAAGTTCTGAGTTCCCAGTTGGAGGCGGGTGGAGGGTAACGTCTTGTTAATTTGGAAATATAATTTGAAAATGTAGTGATTGACCCCTGGTCTCTGGTCTGTGTTTCTGCCCAGTGGTGAACAGCCAACAAGAAGAAGAGAAGCCTCAGACTCTGAGCATCCAGGAAGGTGAAAATGTTACCATGAATTGCAGTTATAAATCTACTATAAGCTCTTTACAGTGGTATAGACAAGACTCAGGTAGAGGCCCTGTCTCGATAATTCTAATACGGACAAATGAGAGAGAGAAACCCAGTGGAAGACTAAGAGCCACGCTTGACACGGCCAACCGAAGAAGTTCCTTGTCCATCTCAGCTTCCCAGACTGCAGACACTGCTACTTACTTCTGTGCTACAGACGCACAGTTCTCCCCAGGCACCTGCAGCTCCTACACAAACCTTTCTGTAGCTGCTGCTTAGAAGCCCCGACAGTGCTGGAGTTGATGGGTATGTCTTCCAGGAAGCAGAGTGTACAAAAACGGAAAACCTGAATGGAGAGCCTTTTCCAATTGGTGACTTTCATTCGGAAGAATCTGGGACTAGGTTAAAGAGCATGGAATTGGGAGTGGGAAACTGAAGTGCCAGACTCAGTTCTGTGTGACAGCCTCTGGCTCTATCACTTGAAATGAATGATTCAGGTCGATGAGCCTCAAAGATACCACAAGCTCTAAATGTATCAGAACAAAAAGTAACCCCAGGACTGGCACTGTGGCTTAGTAAATTAAGTCTCTGCCTGGGGCACCAGCATCCCATACAGGCTCAAGTTCGTGTCCTGGTTGCTCCTGTTCCAATCCAGCTCTCTGCTATGGCCTGGGAATGCAGTGGAAGATGGCCCAAGTGCTTGGGCCCCTGCACCCATGTAGGAGACCCAGAAGAAGCTCCTGTCTCCTGGCTTTGGATTGGCCTAGCTCTGGCCATTGTGGCCATTGGGGGAGTGAACCAGCAGATGGAAGACCTCTCTTTTCTCTGTCTCTCCTTCTTTCAGTTTGTAACTCTGCCTCTCAAGTAAACTTTTTTTAAAAGTAAGCCCTGGACACTTGGGGAGTTCCTTTGAGCATACTTCCACTACATCACAATGGGAGTTCTATTAGTAAGAAACAGCAATAAATATCCATTGTATAGGTAATTAGCAGTTCTGCCACACTCTCCATATAGGGAGTATTAGGACTCATATGATTTTTTGGCCCATAGTTATTCATTTTTGAATTATCATGTCCAATATAATGCCCTGTTCTAATAAATTTACCCTGCCCCCTGCCGAAAGTCTTCCAGAGGACATCACAGTCTATGCACACTGATTTGAAATTCACACTGTGTCTTTGCCCCTCTGTCCCCAGCACACGTGACATATTCTATGATTCAGAGCAGTCCTCTACTATAGAGAGAGTGACCTCGTCAGATTGCAAATCTGACCATGCCTATCTCCTGGATCCTCATTTGATCATAGGATAGAGACACATGTCTTCACGTGACCCTCAAAACTTTGTATAATTGGGGCTCTTACTACTTCTCCAGCCTCATTCCACAATGGGTTCCTTCTATTTCTAATACTAATTTAAAGCACCTTGTTTCTCCTATACAACTTCCTCATGAACATTTTAGGTTATTTTCATTTTTTTTTTATTTTTTCCCAAAATTCTTTTTCTTTCTTCAAAAGAATAGAGACAATTGAATGTCTCCTTGTTCTGTGCATTTGCTGTAGAGTCAGGATCAGAAGAAAGCTCAGTATGCTCAGAATCATAAACCTCTTCCTGTCTCCCTTATTTCTTTGATTATTTGATTAAAAACCATCTCTGCTACTGCTCTGTGGGTTCCTAAATGGCAGAGACCTTTATTTGAGTGCTTGAGCAGCAAAGTGCCTTAGGCACTAGGATCATCACACTGCCCTCTTTCTCCTTTCTATACATTCATTTATTTAATACACTTGTTTTTTTAAAGCTTACTCAACAAGCTATGATAATGTTGTAGTGAAGGAACCAACAACAAAATATGGCTTTGTTTCTCAGGATTCAGTCCATAGATCTTTTGAGGCATATAGAAAATGATGGGTGTTTAGCAAGCAGCAGCAAGCTCAAATGTCAAAATTGCCACCTATTTTTATAACTAGTTTTATTGGAAAACAGCCATGCCTGTTCATGTACATACTGACAATGGCTGTCATTCTACTACAACAGTGAAGTTGAGCTGTTGCAACAAAGACTGCACAACTTCAATGCTGAAACATTCATTGTGGTGGACGTTTAGCTCTGCAGTTAAGATGCTGCTTGGGACCCCCTCTTCCCAGTGAATGGCATGACTGGGTTTGAGTCCCAGATCCACTTGTGATTACAATTTCTTGCTAATGTGCACCCTGCAAGGCACCCGTTGACGGCTCAAGTACTTGAGTTCCTATCACATGTGAGACTGTGTTGGCGTTCCAGGCTCCTGGCTTCAGCCTAGTCCAGCTCCACATGTTATAGACATTTGGAAAGTGAACCAGTGAATGAGCAATCTCTCTATCTCTATCTTGCTGCCTTTCAAATAAAGACAAATATTTACTACTTGGCCTTGTATAAAAAAGTTTGCCAACTCTGGGGTATAGGAATTCATGAATATTTTTAGGCTTGGTGTTTTGTATTTGGGGATGAAAATTAATAAGTCATCTAATCATCTAGATGACTATAACACAATATCCCTCTCACTTTTGATGTTTTTAGTGTAATTTTAACCAAATTTAAAGCAAATGAAACAAAAGCAATATTTAAATGGAGCCATCATGGTTGTTTAAGTGGAAAAAAGTTTTTAAAAGAATTTAATTGTGATTCTGAGTATGGCCATGTAGACTAGACTCCCAAGAACTTTCATTACCATAGAACCAACCATCTTTCCATTGCAAGAGGATGAGTTGGTTACATTCATTGCTTGGAAATATAAACATGAAATTGAAGAAACATAAATGTAGCAACATGTGCACAAAATATTTTTTTCTGTGCTTCATTAAATAGTAATAAAATTACATGAAGAATTATATGAATACTTTTGAATAGAAAATGTTCCAAAAAACCCCTTAGCAGTCACTAATCATAATCGTTTAATCAATAGTACATCAAGTTCCAAATTATGTTAATTAAGTCAGTTATTGAATTACACATCCATAGCCTTCTTCTAATAAACTAAGTCTTTGAGGCCGGCTAATGTCTAATGTCTAATAAACTAAGTCTTGGGGTGCCTCACTTGGTTAATCCTCCACCTGCAGCGCTGGCATCCCATATGGGTGCCGGGTTCTAGTCCCGGTTGCTCCTCTTCCAATCTTGCTCTCTGCTGTGGCCCAGGAGGACAGTGGAGGATGGCCCAAGTGCTTGGGACCCTGCACCCACATGGGAGACCAGGAAGAAGCATCTGGCGCCTGGCTTCGGATCAGCGCAGCGCTGGCCATAGGGGCCATTTAGGGAGTGAACCAATGGAACAAAGACCTTTCTCTCTGTCTCTCTCTCTCTCACTATCTATAACTCTACCTGCCCCCCCAAACAAAACAAAACAAAAAAACTAAGTCTTTAGTTTCAGAGAAAAAATTCCCTCACATTAATGCCTTGATTTTATTTATCTTATGTTTTTATTTGATTTGTTAATTGCACAAAACCTACAAGCCTAAGAAAGTGATACCTAATTTTATTTTCATGTGTTACATAATAATATTTTAAACTACTTATGAGACTGTCTACGTATGAGAAGGTATGCACCTTACCCATTTGAGAGAAACACTGAGTGTACCCTTTATCCAGGTCCTTGATCTGTTCCTGGAAGAAGCTAGTCTTACCAAGCACCAGGACAAATACTCTCACTTGACCAGTACCCCACAAAATGATAATTTTTCCCATCAGACATATCTATTCATTCATTTATTCACCTATTCTTTACATGTTTGTAAAGCATCTTCTATGAGCTAAGGGCTTGTAAGTTTTGAGAAATGAACTAGTGATATCAACCAGATGAAATGCCTGAGATCAAGGGCACCAAAAGTAGCTTGAGAAATGGCACAAATGATTCTAGTATGACGTGGCCTGGACAATGATAGACACTACGCAAAGCTTGGTGGGAAAAGGGATGGCATGTATGCTGCTTCTTAACTGATAGGAGTCGCCCAGGCCAGGGGTAAGGAGGAGCAGGACATTTTAAGCAGAGGGGCTTAGGCTTCAGGAGACCAGTGGAGAACACGCCGAGAAGAGATTTCAGAACATGCCTTCTCATACTGTCAGCATGCCCTAAGACGCCAAAAAGCAACTTAACACCAAGTATGAACACACCTTAGATGCTGGGACTGAGGATCTTTAAGGAAGTGACAGGCCTTGCACTCTCAAGAGGTGATGGAGGGAGTTCCCACTGTCTTGGCTCCAGGCACCCCTGTGAAGTCTGCAGGGTTTAGTGCTTCCTCCCTGGAGCTCCACCCCTCATATCAGTTGCCCATTTCCTTACTAGGTCTATGCCCTAAGGTCCCCTCCAGAGTAAATACCACATTCAGAGGCATAGCAGGCTGCAGGGACAGAGGCAACCACCAGAGGGTGCTACTCCTTCAGGTGGTGATTTGCCACAAATTCATCTTTGCTTTGTAACCACACATCTTTTTCTTACAGCCTGTTGCATGATTTTGTAGGAAGCCTTCCTTAACACCTGAGCCAAGATTCTGTAGAAGTTGCCCCCAAAGACCAAGCAACTGGAAAAGGAACCCTCTCAGGTTTCGTGTGTCCCTGAATAAAATCTTCTGTGGCCTCTCCATCAGCCATGCTGCCTGCTTCCTGCTCAGGACTTGTGATTCTGTTGATATTCAGTGAGTAGCATTTTCTCAAGTCTAAGATGTCTACTCCTTGGTTTCAGGATGACCCTTTACCCCTTCTGAATGGGAGACTATCCCTTGTACTTTACCAATATAACAAAGCCTTTCCTTTTTTATTAGGAGGAGCCAATGGAGACTCTGTGACCCAGACAGAAGGCACGGTCACCCTCCTGGAAGGGGCAGCTCTGACCTTGAACTGCACTTACCAGACAAGCTATCCACCTTTCCTTTTCTGGTATGTTCAATACCAAAACAAAGAGCTGACTCTCCTCCTGAAGAGCTCATCTGAAGTCCAGGAGACGGACAGCAGAGGTTTCCGGGGCAGTCATGTTAAGAGCAATAGCTCCTTCCACCTGAGGAAGCCCTCAGTGCAAGTATCAGACTCGGCTGTGTACTTTTGCGCGCTGCAGGCACAGTGAGAGGGGTTGCAGAGGGAGCCAAGCACAAACCCAGAGGATGCAGGTGGGGCCTGGCTGTGGGCAGTCCTTGGAGCGGCTGTCTTCTCTCTCCAGCATCCTACGCTGAGGCCTCCTCCAAGCGGAAGTACTTCCAGCTTGGATGCATCAAAGCCAAGAAGCCATAGAATTCTTCGGTTACTTTCCAGTGGAGGTGGGACAGAGTAAAGTGAAACTGAAGCTCTGCATTCCAGCAATGCTTCTGTTTTTGGTCCCTCTGTCTCTTCTCTCCTGAGATGGGCAAACATTCTTGAGAAGTAATGTTAGCTCTGCTACATGACAGCTGAGTTGATCTGAGCTGAAATATTTCACAAAGTGTCTATAAAATACCCCAGGGGAAAAATAATTCATGGGTGATGTGTGACCTTGAATCTCTTCACCATGTGAATCAGGATCGTACGTCTTCTTGACTTTAACTGCAGAAACTCCATCTCCAACGACTGGGGTGTTTGTCCCCTCTTCCCTTGAGTTCTGAATCCCTTGTGGTCGCTCTAGAAATGCTGCTGCCTACGTAAGTTCTGTAAGAGGAGCATCCTGAAGAGAAACTTTCTATGTCAAGGGCACCACAGTTTCAGAACATCCAATCAGCCAGGGCTGTGTTCCTGGTGCAACTTGCTTACGCTGTGCTGACACACCTCTCCACGGATCTTCTCCTCATCCCAGCAGCCCTAAATAGTGACCAGATTCTGGATCTGAGAATCTGGCTGGGGGGGGTGTCTGGACCCAGACCTGACTATAACTATGGAATCTAACATTATTATTTCCATTTATGTCCATGATTCTTCTGCAGTGTGTTGAACTCAGCAGCCAAAGAACTCAGGTTACAGTTTATAAAAGGAGGATGCACATGGACTCTTGTTTACTGAGATCCCAAATGGATAAAAATAATCACACAAAACAGAGGTGAGACTTCCTGTTGAACTCTGCAGAGGATGAACTCACAAGGGAAATTCTTCCTCCTGTCCTAGAGATCTGAGAGCCTTGCCCGTCCTTTATCTATCTTGCTTTCTTGGCAGGTGCAGGTGCAGGACCTGATACTGCTTTGATTTCTGGGCTGTCTTTAAGAAAAAACACATGAAATTACAACATGAGTTACGGGGTCATGGACTAACAAGGGGTCCTGCAAGAAAAGCCTCGTTTACTTCATGGTAAATCTGCCCAACTCTGGGATCCCCAGAGATCATTTTCTCCTGTGGGACTGAGATATTGCCATTGTCTTAGTTTCCTCTGATATTGGCAGGTCCCCTGTTTCCCAGGCTTCTTTCCACTGCAGCACTTGAGTCACTCTGGTTGCCAGTGATATGAATATTTTACCTTTGTTGTTTTTAAACAACAAACTTTATTGAAATGTAGCTCACCACAGACTATATTGTCTTAGTGTATTCACAGGTTGTCCAATTATCACTACTGTCTAATTCCAAAGCATTAGGGCAGTAATACCCTTCTGTATGACACCACAATGATGGGTGCCTGTAAGCCTTCATTTGTGTAAACCCAGAGGATGTAAAGCACCCAGAGTGAAGCCTCATGTCAGCTGTGGGCCCTGGATAACAGTGATGTGTCCATGTAGGTTCATCAGCAAAAACACGTGAGTGTGGTGCCTGTGTGAGTGCAGGAAGTATATGGGAAATGTATTCCATTCATTTGCTAACTTTTATTGTGAACCCAAAAGTACTCTAAAAATAAAGTCTATGAAAAGAAAAGACTATCCCTATTTCTAGTATTAAATAAATTGATTTACAAAGAACAAAAACAACATTTTGATGAACCTGGATCTTATTCTAAATACATGACATCTCATAGGCTTATATTTAGAAGTGTGAAACACACAAGTCCTAATACTTTTTAAAGACTTATTTATTTATTTTGTAAGTCAGAGTTAAGGGGGGGTGAACCAACCAAGATCTTTCTCTCTGTCTCTCTCTCACTGTCTAACTCAGCCTGTCAAAAAAAAAAAAAAAAAAAAAAAAAAAAAAGAAAAGAAAAAGAAAAAGTCAGAGTTACAGAGAGAGAGAGAGAAAGAGAGAGAGATCTTTCATGCAGTGGTTCACTCCACATATAGCACAATGACCTTTGCTGGGCCAGGTCACAGCCAGGAACGAGGTGCTTCTGCAGGTCTCCCACATGGGTGTCAGGGGCTCAGGGGGCTCAGGTACTTGGGCTATCATTGCTACTTTCCCAGGCCAGTAGCAGGGATACGGATCAGAAGCGGGGCAGCCAGGACACAAACTGGTGCCCATATAGGATGCTGGCATCACAGACAATGGCTTTACCTGTTATGCCACAACATTAGCCCCACAAATCCTAATATTTTAAAACTACAAATTGCTTACTGACTGAATCAAGGAATGATCACTAATAGAAACTGGATTCTACTGGTATTTTTAATAGGTTTACTATTATTTTGATACTTCTCTGGTTATAAATTGTATACTTTTGGGTTTTTCCGATCATAGTTTCCACTGTAATGTGTGTGTGGCTTGGAAGTGCAGGATGACTTTCAGGAACACACATATTGAGTTATACCAGAAATTCCTGTACTAACATACAAACATACTAACATACAAAATTTTCTGAACTTATTTTTGCTTACACACACACAGACACATATATTCACATAAAACACAATGTGGGTGCACATATGCATGCATGTATTTTCTTTCCTGCTGCTTCTTAATGCAGAACACACTTGAAAGATTTTGTGACTTAGGAGGTGTGATGTGAAATCATTCGTTAATAATCAAATATTCCTCATGTAAGTTTTGCTGGGTTCCATAACTGGCAAGGTAGCAATAAAAATTTAGATTAAAATATTTACGATCCTGCTAGAGAGTCTTAATTCTGTGGTGCCTTTTGATCGCGATTCTGTCTGGAGAAAAAAACAAAAGATGCATAATTATATGATTCTTCATCTTTACTATAGTTCATACTGAGACATAAGCCCTACATTTTCCATCAAAAATGAATTCGTTAGTCATGACTTGGTTTTACCAGAGACACAACAGGTGCTCAGGACAGAGTAGTATCTCCCTGTCCAGGAAGCCTGCTGCATGACGCAGGCAAACTCGTCCTGTAGCCACTGACTGCTTCCTGTGTGGGGCAGAGCATCACACAGCTCGGTAACATCGCTTGTACCTCTCGAGCATAGGGTGCAGAATTCAGGTCTGGATTTGCATAGGACATAGACCATTTCATTCATGGGAAAAGCTACCAAGATGCGGATCAGCAGCCTTTTCAGGGCAGTCATGGCCTCCATCTGTCTCGGTAAGCTGGGACAAGCACGGGGCTCGGGCTCTGCTCAGCTCTGATGGCTGTGGGGAGAGGTAGATCATTGTCTGCAAAGGATTAGAGGGAGGAGCAGTGGGCAATGGACTTGGAGCACTGAGTCCCTATCCACTTCTTTTCACAAATAAGGAACTAGACTCTTCTCTCCTGCAGGAGCCAGTGTGGCCCAGAAGGTAACCCAAGCTCAGACTGCAACTTCTGTGGTGGAGAAGGAGCCGGTGACTCTGCACTGTGTGTATGAAACCAGTAACCCTACTTACTACTTGTTCTGGTACAAACAACTACCAAGCGGAGAAATGATTTTCCTCATTCGTCAGGACTCTTATAATGAGAAAAACGCAACGGAGGGTCGGTATTCTCTGAACTTTCAGAAAGCAGTCAGAGCCATCAGCCTCACCATCACAGCCTCACAGCTTGTGGACTCAGCAGTGTACTTCTGTGCGCTGAGAGAAAACCCACAGTGCGATGGGTGCCTGCAGAGGCTCTACCAAAACCTCAGCGGGAGGCAGGGCCTCTGAGGAGAGGTTTATCAGACAGGAAGAAGCAGGAGCCGACAGCACAGGTGGTGGTGTAGCAGTGAAACCTTAATTTAATTCATGTAGAATGTCAGGACAATCCTTTTTGGAAGTATATGCATCTTCTGTTCTTTAGAATAGATTGTGATAAAATGTAAATAAAATATAAATATAAAACAAGAGGGTGCAATAAGAAAACCATTCAAACCTGTGTTGGTTCTATTGAGGTGGGGAAAGTATCAGATTATCCTTAGGCAATATGGGTGATTCCCTTGATGAGTTGTTAAATTTTTAGAGTCATCGATATGTTTATACACTGATTATAATGTAGAATGCCTTTGTCCATTTTTAATTTAAATTCCTTTCATGGATTTTTAGCAATAGAATAAATTATTTAATTTTTACTGCTTTCCATAATCACACCAGTAACTCTTATACAATAGAACAAATTTGAAATGTTCCTCTAATCACCTATCTCTGGACCATCTCTTTGTAATATGATAATGATTTAAAAAAAAAAAAAACAACTCTAAATGGCTCTCACTCAGAGGCTGCCTACAGATTAGGCTGCTTAAGGTAAGAATGTGTCCTAACCTGTTGAGTCACTTGCCTTACCATTTCCCCTCCACATCCTCTCCAATTTGAAGCTGAGAAGCGGTCAGGGCCAGAATGACAGCTGTCATGGAGACCAATACCCAGATGGTCTTGTCCAATGTCTACCTCTAAAAATGTATTTTTCTTCAGATATTAGAATAGGTACCCAAGTATTTTTATTTCTTCTGTTCCATACAAGTGTTTAAAAACCCCTAGTTAGTTATCAACATTTAAAAATCAGCCCTCTAATTGAAAACTATTTCCCTAACTTACCTATAAAAACAGGAAGATCCAGGAACACTGGACTGCCTATAAGAGAGATCAAAAGTTCTGTCTTAACATGAATTAACTTTGGTGTATGTTCATTTTATTTTTAAAATTTGTGCAAACTTGTCATTCATTTTACAACATGAATTATATCAACATAAAATGTTGTATTATTGCTTACAAATGTTAATCCACAAGACAAACAAATCTGAATGATCATCTCATTAAGCCATACCTGTTTTTGTCTGTGATTCATGCATCATAGTGTGCATCTCAGCTCCAGAAACTTAAGTAGTTTATTAATTGATGCAAAAGATATTCAGTATACATGATTGGCACTGGGCAACATCATACAAGACAGACATGATTCCTGACTTGATGGTGGCCATGGTCCAGTGGCCTGTAGGATCCAGTATGGACTAAGAAGCAAAAAGAACATTAAAATGTAGTTCTGGAATTTGTCACACAAACTATGTGACATCTCTGAATTTTGTTTCATCTTCTGTAAAATATAGAGGTTTAATTAGGCAATTGCTGTTGAATAGTCTCTCCCCAAGTTTTTCTGTTGAAAAACACTTAGTCCACTGCCTTTCTGAGTTCCTTATACATAGAAACAAACTCTTCCTCTTTGTTTGGGAAATGACAATTAGTAGTTATAGAAATTTTCATGGTGCTCCACACACTGCATGATGATGTAACACGGTAACACGAAGCCAAAGGGAGCAGGTGGAGAGAAGAAAGGTTCTGAAAGTTATGGACTTTTAACATATAAGGCTTAGCAGGGGAGAGGGAAAAGGAGAGAGAGAGAGAAAAAAAGGAGAGAGGTAGAGGAAAAGGAAAGAAGGAAGAAGAAAAAGAAATGCCAGGTATTCTTGAAATTAGTTACTCTAACATCCACATCATACACTGTACTTAATGTATCCACTGCAGAGTTGTACCGGTATCCCTGGGTTAGAGGTGGACACTAAATTCAAGTAAAGCAAAGTAACAACCAAAACAAACAAAGTCACTCCTCCTTTGATGAACTGTCCGGGGTTCTGATTTATTCAAAAAACACAGCTTCTATTCTGGACTTGACCTGCTCTCACAAATATTTTTTTTTTTAATTATTAGTGTTACAATCAGATTTACATGGATGGAGGGAGATAGGGAGGAAGGGAGAAAGAGAGAGGGAAGGAGGGGGAGGAAGAGAGAGAGAGAATCTTCTAACCACTGGTTCACTCCCCAGATGATCACAATGGCCAGGGCTGGACCAGACCAAAGCTAAGATCAAGAGCTTCTTCCAGGTCTCCCACACTGATATCAGAGACCCAAACACTCAGGTCAGCTTCTGCTGCTTCTCCCAGGTCATTAGCAGGGAGCTAGATCAGAAATGGAGAATCTGGGGCATGAACTAGTGCCCATATGGGAGGACAGCTTTGCAGGCAGAGCTGCAGAGCTTTATCCCCTGTGTCACAATGCCAGCCCCCTTGCTGCTTTTTGACATGTTTTCCCAAGGAGTTCAAGCTCACTGATAAGAGAGGGACATCTTGGCACTACTTGAAAAATCACCATGACAGAGGATAATATCTTCTAGTAAATATTCCCGTTTGCCAGTGCCCACCCTCTTGACAAGCTCCAGGCCAGGACAGAGAAGCAGATGGGTGAGGTTTAACATAAAAGTGCTATTATCAGAGGGCAGGGAACAACTTTAACCTCTTTCTCCCCAAATAGGTGATTTCAGTCACATTATCTCATATTTGCTGACAGGCCCGAGTAGAAATGCTCCTAGACATGATCAGTGACAAAATCAGTGTTCAGACTGATTTTTGTTCAGCCTTTCACACTATTAAAACAAATAACCCAAAATGTTCCAAGTGTCAAGATAATATCTAACAAAGAAATGACAACTTTTTCTGTGAATGAATATAGAACTAGTAGATGAGCTGTTAGACAATAATCTCAATAAGTTATGGAGATATTTCCCCCTCTTATGTTAAGAGTAAATAAACACCTTTTCAATATACTTGAAATAGGACCAATTGCTGTATTAATTTCTTCCCTGAGATGAGGCAATTATTTGCAAAGAGGCAATTCTCATCCTGTATCCAGGTTAAACACAAGCTGTCTCGGGAATGGGATGAGATTTATAACCTGCTGCAAGAAGCACGGAGGAAGTATTTTCAATGCCCAAGGCACAGGTATACCTCACTTTTCTGCTCTGTATTGGGAATAAGAAGACCAATTTGCCTGGTCATTGATCTGTGAGCTTTGCTTTAATTGTTCCCTTGAGCAGAGTGACCTCCCTTTAACTCTGCAGGCTCCACTACTCTCTGAACCTCCCATGATCACACTTCTACTGTCTCCCAGTCAGTATCTGTCCCTAAATCAGCCATGTCCCCAATCTGCTAACATAACTAATAAATGAGTTTTGTCTCATTTATTAGTGGGTGAGAGGAAAAGAGGAACTCAGTGGGTGAGAATAGATATGTTTTGCTGCTTGGTAGTCTGAGAAATGTGACCTCCGCACTAAGTCATTGTCATGTTATAACTTAAAAGCACAACCATTAAAATTCAGAATTATCTGGAAAATGTATAGTCAACACTTCTATCGTACAAGACTTAGGTCTCCTGACCAAGCATACAACAGACATCACGTTCTTTCTCTAAACTTCCCAATCACTCTTTAACCTTTATTGTTAATTATCACTTTAGTCTTTGTATCGTGGCTCTGCAAATTCATATAGATAACTACACCCTGGACAGAATGTCTAAAGTGAAAAACACAGATAAGACCAAGTATTGACAAGGACACTGAGCAACAGGAATTCCCACTGCTAGAGGGAATGTGAATGGTATAACTTTGGAAGTAGCAGTATCACAGAAGCTGAACATCTGCATTCCCTATTCTCCAGCCAAAATTGTGGCATATGTTTATTCATAAAACTTGTGCAAGAATAAAAACACAATGCCTGAAACTGGAAAATAACCCAGGGGTCCATAAACCATTCCAGGGATACATCAGGATAATGGAATGCAACACAGCAATGAGAATAAATACACTTGTATATATGCAATGTGAACCAGTCCCATGAATTTTACTCAGTGAAAGATGACAAACACAAAAGATGTTTGGACCAGACAAAACTCATTTATTAGTTATGTTAGCAGATTGGGGACATGGATGATTTAGGGACAGATACTGACTGGGAGACAGTAGAAGGGAGGCTCCTGGGGTGTTGGTAATGATTTGCTTCTCAATCCGGGTGCTAGTTACATGGGCGCATCCACTTTGTGAAAATTCAGCAAGCTCTACACTTAGGCTTTGGGCACTTTTTTGAATGCATATTATACCTCCACAAAGGTCATAAATAACGCATTATCTATATAATTAAGTTCTGAGACCACAATTCCTATTCAATACATCTTCATATCCTGACATATTACACTGCACCCTTTTATAACAGATGCTTAGCAAATGTTTACTCAATAAAGAACTCATATGTTTTTTTTCTGAAGATACTCTGCTCCCCGTTCCAAGAATTCAAGGATCCAATATGTTATCAGGTGGACTTAGACTTCCCTCTGCAGCATGGTGATTACTGCCTGAGTTCACACTCTCAACATGTCACACCTGGTTTTCTGTTGCAGCCTTTTAACTGGCTGCTCTACTTCCAAGCTCTCCTCCCTACTGTTTTCCCCTCAGCCCACAAATTACTTATCCTTTTAGAAAACAGCATCGATCACTCTGGAACCCAGTACGACAAACTTCAGTGGCCACGCCGTGCCTGCAGGGGTCAGATGAAATCTCCTGGTATGGCTCTCAATGGCCTCTACAAGTTTGTCATCATCACAGATCAAGTCTAACTCTAGAACGAGGTTGGGGCACTCTCGGTTCTTCACAAACAGCTCTGCCTGCTGTCCTTTGCTTCAATAATCACCCTGTATGAACACTTGCCATCTTTCTTCTTTCCATCCTAGATGCGATCTCATGCTTGTCCTGTGAAGAATTTCCTGATCACTCATTCCACAGTGAGCTCTCCCTTCTCTTGGAAAGCTCTGCCACTTAGTCACTGTCTATGGTTCTTTTCAAAAAATATTTCACTGGCACCACCTAATGTTATAAAGCACTTTCATAAACATTATCTCATTCATGCATCATAATAACATTGTGAACGAGGAAAGGTACAGACAACCTATTTAATTTTATAAATAAGGAAATTATTGCTTAGAACAGTGAAGCGCTAGCATACTCAGCAAGAGAAGAGTCACTTCTCAGCCAAGCAACCATACCAAATTATCTATCTAGGAGTTTATATCTTACCAACCCAGAGAGATTATGCATTTTTTGAAATGTGATTATATTTTGTGTCTCTCACAACATTGAATAAGGCATTTCAGGTGTTCTGTAGAATTAAGTTATCGTATCCCAACATTGTTCCCACCCAACTCAAGGGCTGCCTCGGCTCCATGGGACTTCTGTGGCAAAAGCTGAAATGTTGGGAGAAAAATATCACTGTGTGTTCCAAATGGTTAGCTTTGTGAAGGCCAGGCAGCCTTCATTCTACACCTGCATCCTAGGCTCTAAACTGAAGAAAGAAGCAAAGGAAGCTAGCAGAAGTAGTGGCGATGGACCTCAAGGAGCCCAACCTAATCTCAACCAAGCTTCAAAATATCTAATTCAAAAAACCAGTCCCCAAGTAATTCAGTTCTCAAAAAAATGGGGAACTTTTTGATATTGGAAGTTTAATAAAATCTAAAATGTGTTAGTATGAAATTTGGTTTCTGTCTCCAAGGCTAGATAACACAAGATCACTCCGAAACTTCATCAGAGGAGTGACAGGATGGAATGATGAGAACAGAGAGTGCCCTGGGCCATGTCTGGACACCCACACCTGAGTGAAAATGCTGCCTCCTGCCCTAGCAGCCTGCACTCCCACACACTGGGCATTGGCGAGTAAACATCTGGACACCAGGACTAAGAAAGGAAAAGGGATATGTGATGAAAGAAGCAATCTGAACACTGAAAGTGAGATATTTATCCAGGTTACCTTTGCCTTGTGATAAATTCACCTGCCCCCTATTTCCAGTCTGATTCTGCATTCCAAATGCCAAATCCCAAGCTGTTGGGAACACAGGCAGAGAACAGGATTTGTTCTACTTATCTGCTCCTCACTCTACTGAAAGCAAGCTAAGGTAGGAATCAAGTCTTGTTTTGATTGTTGTGTTTTTTACAGAGCTTCACATGTAGGTGCTTCAGGAAGTCTCTGGAATGAATGCTTGGAATTTAGGAATTCTCAGCACTCACAGAGATTTCAAAGCAGCCAGTTGAATCTTGTTATCACGGGACCTGCACTTGATACATAATTTTAGTAAGAGTGAAACAGTGCAAGATAATCTTAACTCATGAGAAAATCTACTTAGGGTAAATACTTATCATTTGAAGTTTATTCTCATGCCCAACTGATTTTACTCAAAGCCATTTTTATTACAGCAACAGCACTGCTCCTTCAGTGTAGCTGCCTGCAATAACAGTCTCAATACTCTAAAATGGTTTATGTGAGCAGGGCCTTCTTACTGTAATACAATCATACCTCACATAAAGAAAATCCAATTTTAGAGAAAGAAGGACCTAGGAGAACATTCCTTTTTTTTTTTTTTTTTTTTTTTTTTTTTTTTTGACAGGCAGAGTGGATAGTGAGAGAGAGACAGAGAGAAAGGTCTTCCTTTTTGCCATTGGTTCACCCTCCAATGGCCGCCACGGCCGGCGCGCTGCAGCCGGCACATCACGCTGATCCGAAGGCAGGAGCCAGGTGCTTCTCCTGGTCTCCCATGGGGTGCAGGGCCCAAGCACTTGGGCCATCCTCCACTGCCTTCCCGGGCCACAGCAGAGAGCTGGCCTGGAAGAGGGGCAACCGGGAAAGAATCCGGCGCCCCGACCGGGACTAGAATCCGGTGTGCACGCGAACATCATTGCATTCGCTGACTGCTCCTACCAGTAATACAGACTAGATGAGAGCAACAGACAGCATGCAAACAGTGCCTGGAATCCCTAATAAAACAAGCAATAAAACAAGCAAGAGACAACTAAATATTGATATATTCTCTGTAATGAAGACAACTTGGCTAATAGCATCTAAAACCCGGCATTCTAAAAGAAAATATTTACCTGAATTAAACCATGACATGAGAATAAGTACAAAGATGGCATTTCAAGGACCAAATGACCAAAGTAAGACTCTCTCTCTCTCTCTCTCACACTTGCTCTCATAAGGCTACTCTCATCCAAGTGTGGCCCAGGAATCCCTGTGGGGACCTGTGCAGGGAGCCTGGATGCTGAAACCATCCTTGTAATGATAGTAAGGCGTTACCTGCCTATTGTACTTTCATGTTCTCACACTTATGTTTTCTAGAATCTACATGATGTGTGATAACGACCTCACTCTGATGCCTAACAGAACCTCTGTGTATGTGTGTGTGTGCATCTGCATGTGTCTATGTACATGTTACGTATGTATGTACAAGTGTGCCTGTATGTGCATATGTACATGTTGTGTGTGTGTGTGCATGTGAATGTATAAGTATTTTTTTTTAATTTTTTTATTATTTTTTTTGACAGGCAGAGTGGACAGTGAGAGAGAGAGACAGAGAGAAAGGTCTTCCTTTGCCGTTGGTTCACCCTCCAATGGCCGCCACGGCCGGCGCGCTGCGGCCGGCGCACCGCGCTGATCCGATGGCAGGAGCCAGGAGCCAGGTGCTTTTCCTGGTCTCCCATGGGGTGCAGGGCCCAAGCACCTGTGCCATCCTCCACTGCACTCCCTGGCCACAGCAGAGAGCTGGCCTGGAAGAGGGGCAACCGGGACAGAATCCGGCGCCCCAACCGGGACTAGAACCCGGTGTGCCGGCGCCGCTAGGCGGAGGATTAGCCTAGTGAGCCGCGGCGCCGGCCGTGAATGCATAAGTATATATATACGTGTACTCGTACGTCTACTCTGTCTCTGTTTATTTATCCTTCTCTCTGTCTCTGTCTTCCACATAAACAAAAGCTGTTTTACTCTTCTTGGAATTTCTTTGTAAGAATATAAAGGGATTCTGAGGTCAACAAGTTTGAGGACTAGTGGTTCATAGAATATACATGTAATTCACCACAATCTGACTTCAAATAATATTTTACCAATTCACACATAGTGCAAGACACAACAATCCCCCATCTTTGCATGACTGATGTCACACACTTATTCTACGTAAGAGCCCTACCGTGCAGTCTGATTACTTTTCCTTTAAACAAACGTCTTTCTATGACTTTTTTCTCTTAGCCCTTTTGAACTGTGTCCTGATGAACGGCCTCTCTGGTGAGCAGTTGGCTGTGGTCCTAACTTTGATCCTCTCGGAGGGATGTACCCTTTCCCACCCTTCTCCCCCTCACCCCAGCTCCCTGTATAAAAGACTTTCTCTTTAGGGTTGGTTTTCAGAAACTTGACTACGATTAGCCTTGGAGTTATTGTATTCACGTTTTGTCTCCCTTGTATCTGAGGCTTTATAATTAAGCCTGGAAGCTTTTCAGTTTTTTTAAACAGAAACATATTCCCCCCCCCATTCTATTGAGTCTTCAGTTGCATATAATGAAGTTGCCAGTTAGTTTTGTAGTTTATGGGTGTGTCCCCCCACAATGTTTTCTTTCTTCTCTTCACTTTGGATAATTTCTGTTGCTTGTTTTCTTGCCTTCATTAATCTTTCACCCTGTGGTTTCTCTTCTAATCTCTTGCTAATTTTTATCCAATTTATTTTTCATTTCAGTTATTTCATTATTTCCATCTTTAGAAGACCCATTTGGATCTTCATCTGCCTTCCATTTTCTCTTCTTTATGTTCCTTTACAATATGTATATATTATCTTTCTTTACAGTATGTATATATTATCTGACAATTCTGTCTTCAGGAAGAACCTAGACAGATACAGGGTGGTGCAATTTGGAGAGCCACCACCAGAGGGAGCTGCTGCTATTGTCAGCTGTGGTTCACATTTGTGCTCAGGGGTGGTTTGACACGCCTATTTTCTTTGAAGTGGCTAGATAGTCTAGCAGAAAGGGGCTTTTATAAGCAGGAGTTACTATCAGATTTCACTATAGACTAGCTCTATTGGAGTTGATGTGTTGCAAGGTGCAAGGAGTGTTTCCTTCTATTAACATGCTTTCTGTTACCTGCTCCGTTCTTCTGATCTTTATATTCAGTAAGTAACGTTTTACCCTAAGCATTATAGTCCATTTTCCTATAATCACAATAACATTTAGCCTTATGCTCCATACAATAACGGTTTTTGTTGTTGTTTTTGTTTTAGGGAGCAGCAGCGGAGACTCAGTGACCCAGATGGAAGGCCTGGTTTCTCTCTCAGAGGGGGCATCCTTGGCCCTGAGCTGCACTTACCAGACGACTTATTCGAGTCCTTTCCTATTCTGGTACATCCAATACCCCAACAAAGCTCTTCAGCTACTTCTGAGGAGCACAACAGAAAACCAGAGGACAGAGAGTCAAGGTTTCTGGGCCACTCTTGTTAAGAGCAACAGCTCCTTCCACCTGCACAAATCCTCACTCCAGATATCAGACTCGGCTGTGTACTATTGCGCTATGACAGACACAGTGAGAGGAACCACAGGGGGAGCTGAGCACAAACCCAAGGAGCCCAGGGGGCTGCAGCTGAGCAGCCAGGGGAGGGGAGAGTGCTGCTCTCCCTGTAGGGTGTATTTACTCAGACTTTCTTCAAGAGCACGAACCAGCTGCAAGCCAGATCTCCAGTAAATTAGAAAGTCAAGGCTTGCTCTCTATGTAGAGTGGTGGGTGTTGAAAGGGAAACTCAGTTTTGATCTCGAGAGCATCAAAGCTCAATCAAAGACTTCTCTCCTCCACTCTACACTACCTCTCACTGGGAATATATCCAGGAAAACCCTGACATCAGATCAACCTCTACCAAGTTGTTTTATGACTTAATATAATTTTTAAAATATTTATTTATGTATTTGAAATGCAGAGAGAGATAGAAGGAGAAAGATCTTTCATCTGCTGGTCTACTCCCCAGACAGCTGCAACAGCCAGGTCTGGGCCTGGATGAAGCCAGGGGCCAGGAACTGCAACTGGGTCTCCATGTGGATGGCAGGGGTCCAAGTACTTGGGCCATGTTCTCCTGCCTTCCCAGGCTCCTCAGCAGGGAACTGAATGGAAGCAGAACATCCAGGACTCAAACCAGTGCTCTGATATGGGTGCTGGCAGCGTACCTGGTGGCTTAACCCACTGTGCTGCAATGCCTGCCCCTATTTGCCTATTTTAACCCTCAGGGATGCTTTCTGCTTCCTGCAGATGTTTATGAAGGAAAGCAGGGACGCAGAATCTGGTCTTTATTATCTCACATGGGTCTCCACAGCCTCTCCTCGGTCCCTAACACCGAAAGCTCAGCCCAGCCTGGCACTGCCCCTGCACTCCACGAGGCTGCTCAGGAAGCAGCGCTGTGGAAACGCTCTTAAAGACAAGGCCCCCGGAGACATCGCGTCTCCTTCCCCTGCACTCACCACAGAGCAGGTGACAGACAGCCTGCCACGACAGCTCTGCCGGGGGAGTCCTCCCTCTTCGTGTTCTGTCTCTTGGGATTCTCTGACAGTTGGAGTAGGGGAAAGAGGCCCAGATTCTGACCTCATCTGAGTCTTTAAAAATATTAGTTTAAACTCAACTATTTCAATATTCTTTATACTTTTCTGTAAAACAGGAAATAGATGAATGGAAAGGCCCTGGATACCACTCACAAGCAAAACGAAGGTTTGTGTGTATAAAGAGCAGGATAGCTATACACTGTCTCTTTTTGATGTGGGGCCAATGGATGGATTATCTAACCCTACAATTCTGAACTCCAGAACTCCAATTTAAACTAAAAAAAAAAAATGAGAATCCTTCACCTGAGCTTTGATCAAACTTTAGACTCCAGATTTATTTTATTTATTTGAAAGATAGAGTTACAGAGAAAGAGGGGGAGACAGAGAGCAAGCTTCCATCCACAGGCCAAACCCAGGAGCCAGGTGCTGAATTCATCCAGGCCTCCCATGAGGGTGCAGGGGCCCAAGGAGAAACATCTCTTGGATCGGCCTTAGGATTTCATCTGAGCCGTGAGTTGGGAAGATCAATGACACAGGAATAAGAACACTCAGAGTTTACTTCCTGCCCTTCCTTCTTTTCTTGTAATTTTTGGTTTTCCTTTTACACAAACCCATGCATCCTCCCTGTCTGTCCTATCCCATAGGTAGTAATTTAGCCCCTATAAACTGCATTATGCTGGCTCCCTTTGCCCCTAGGCATCTTACTGGATTCAGTGTCCGCACAGAAACTGGCAAGAGACCATTGTGTATGAAGATAGAGGGAGGCAGGGTAACGTGTCTGCCTCCTTCCTGCTCAGATGTGGTGTTCAGACATCAGCTGCATCCTCTGCAATGCCAGATCTTGGGGAGAAGCTCCTCTTCCATGCCTCCAGCTCCCATAACCTTGTCCTTACCCCTTGCTGCTCCGGACTGAGGGTCACAAGGACTCCCACGGTTGACAGCCAGCGCCTGGGTGCCTCAGCATCCTTTTTGACTTCCCTAACCTTTCTCAGCCACTGTGACCTCAATTGCACCCTCTTCATATCCTCAGCTGAACACGGCCTTCTGTTCTCTTGCCCGTACCCTGAGTGGGTCAGGTGATAATGACTTCCTCCTGTTGCTCACCTATGGATCTCTCAGCATCACTTTTGTTTCTCTTGATCTACATTTGTGTGAACTCATCTTTAAAGACCATTGAATTTTATTTGGGTTTTGTTTTTGCTATGATTCTCTCATCCACTTTCCCATGGTACATTTTCTGCTGTGATACAAGGTTTCTTTCTTTCTTTCCTCCTTCTTTCCTTCCTTCCTTGATTGATTTATCTGAAAGACAGAGTTTAGATAGAGAGAGACACAGACACACAGAGAGAGATATCTTCCATCCATGGTTCACTCAACAAATTACCTCAAGAGCCAGGCCTGGGCCAGGCTGAAGTCAGGAACCAGAGGCTTCCTCCAGGTTTCCCATGTGGATGTAGGGGCCCAAACACCTGGGCCATCTCCCGCTTCTTTTCCAGGTTCATTAGCAGGGAGCTGGATCAGAAGTAGAGCAGCCAGTACTCGAACCTGCACCTATGTGAGATGCTGGCACCACAGGCGGTGACTTTACCTGCTATACCACAATGCCACCCAGATTGAAGATTTCTAATGTGGGGAGCAACTCTGACTAGACTGTTACTGGAATTAAGACTTATTCTATGCATCTGCTTTCCCACAATATGGCGCTGAGAAGGGAGTAACAACTTCTACATAGCTGCCTCCAGTTCAACCAATAAACAGCAGGACCTGCTCCTGATTGGAGGAGAGCAGTGTACTCGGCGTGTGGGTAGCAGAGTTGGGATTGGTGGAAGAGGACTATAAAGGAGGAGAGAGACAACATGCACCAGGAACATCTATCTGAAGGAACACCTGTGCAGCCCCCGAGAGAGCCGGCCGGCGGTGTGCCGCTCCCCCGCGGAAGTGGGGAAAGTGGCAGGGGGAACCGCCCTTCCACGGAGGTGGAAGTGTTGGTAGCCAACCCGGGAAGAACCAGCAGCAAACCCGGGGAGGGCCGAGCAGACAAAAGAACAGCTCAGGGTCCTGTGTCGTTCCTCCACGAAGAGGGGGAGCAACAAAATGGTGCCGTGACTCGGATAGGAAACCTAGGCAGGGTTTAGTGTCGTTCCTCCACGAAGAGGGGGTGCAACATAATGGTGCCGTGACTCGGATAGGAAACCTAGGAGGGAAGAAGCGGGAAGAAGTGGGAAAATACCAGAGAGAGAGACTAGCAAAGAGCCTAGGGAAAAGCCGGACGGAAAAGGTGCCGGAAGAAGCTATCGAAAGGCTAGGCATAGACTCGGATACGGACTGTGGGAAAGAAGTTAGGATTGAAAGCTAGGATTGAAAGTGAAAGTGAAACCAAGAAGAAACTTAGACTCAGATGGGGACTATGGCGGGGAAGCTGGGAGAAATCTCTAAGGTCGAAAGCGAAAGTGAAACCTAGAAGAAACTTAGACTCGGACACGGACTGTGGGTAGAAGCCAGGAAAAATGAGAGGGGAATATTGTTGGAAGAAAAGTTAGGAAACATACCGGGTAGAGAAAAATGTTAGGGAGGATGAAGCTGCCGGGGCAGGCTGAGGCGGAGACGTAAGCTAGTTTGGGATTTGTCAAGTCAGCCCAGGGAGCAAAAGGCGAAAAGCTAAACCAGAGGCGGAGACGCATAAGCCAGGTTGGAATCTGTCAGATTAGCCCGGGGAGCAAAAGATGGGAAGCCAAACCGAAAGGCACAGACGTGAGCTAGGTTGAATTCGCCAGGTTAGCCCGGGGAACTTAGACTGAATACCGGTGGCGGAAACGTGAGCTAGGCTGTGTGATTCGCGGAAGCTGCCGCGCACAGAGAGAGCGCGCGGGGCACAAGTGGGGAGAGCGCACGGGGCGCGAATAGATAGTCTAGGCAGGGTTTAGTGTCGTTCCTCCGCGAAGAGGGGGAGCGACATCTAATGCTGTGGAATTCCATGAGACTTGTCTAGCCTGTGTCTGTCTTCTATACTTTACAGGCTTTCAGAAGATACCTACCTTGAACCTGGCATTACAGTGCAGCAGATTAACCTACCACGTGTGATGCTGGCATCCCAAATGAATGCTGATTCAAACCTGCAGTGAACTGAGCATACTCATCAATTAGGACATTGATGACAAGCAGCCAATCACCAACTTCCATGTGCAAAAATGTAAAGCTATTAAGCAGCTCACAATAATAAAACCTTTGAGTTTCACATGGAGAGGCACTTGGAATTTTTGAATTGCCTCATTTTTAAAATAAGAAGCCATGGTCTAGGGTTAGGTGTTTAACCTAGCTGTTAAGATACTGATTAGGGGTTGGTGCTGTAGGGTGGTGGGTAAAATCGCTGCCTGTGGCACTGGCATCCCAAATGGGCACTAGTTTGAGTCCTGGCTGCTACACTTCTAATCCAGCTCCTTTCTAATGTGCTTGAGAAAGCAGCGGAAGATGGTACTTGGACGCTTGCACCCATGAGGAAGACCTGGAAGAAGGCCCTGACTCCTGGCTTCAGATCAGCCTGGCTCTGGCCATTGCAACCATTGGAAGAGCTCTCTCTCTGTCTCTGTCTCTCTCTCTCTGTCTCTCTCTGTCTCTGTCTCTATCTCTCCCTTCCTCTCTCTGTCTCCCTGTGTAACTCTGCCTTTCAAATAAAATAAATAAATCTTTTTGTTAAAAATGATACTGGCTAAGACACTATATCCCATATCAGAGTGCTTGGGTTCAATAGTTGGCTCAAGCTACTGACTCCAGCTTCCTGCTAACAAAGACTCCTGGAGGCAATGGTAATGGTTCAAATGGTGGGTTCTTGCCATACATGTGGGAAACTTGGATTGTGGTCTAGGATCCCATGTTCAGCCCAGCCCTGGTCATTGTGGGCATTTGGGGAATGGACCAGTTGATAGGAGTTTCTCTCTCTCTCTCTCTCTCTCTCTCTCTCTCTCTGTCTTTATTTCTATGTCTCTCAAATAAATACTTTTAAAAAAATGAATGGGTGATGTTTGGCATTATGCTGCAGCAAGTTACACTGTTACTACCAACACTGGCATCTCATCTTGGAGTGTGATTTGAGTCCCGGATGCTCTGTTTCTGATCCAGCTTCCTGCCAATGCACCTGGGAAGGCAGCAGAAATGGCCCAAGTTCTTGGGTCCCTGCCACCAGTGTAACAGAACAAGATGGAGCTCCTGGCCCTTGGCTTTGAAAAATGCATGCGTGGTCCAACTAGCTTGACTACTCATTTTAACTACAGGGTGCAGTAGTTGAAGCTGTATTTTTCTTACAATTTACTAT